TATTCTTATCTCTCTCCCGAGATTCTAGAGAATGGGCCTCACTCCTCTATTGAACATTCTAACTGTATTCCGGAATGCAATATGGACCAGATACATTCAGACAGGTCCAACATGTTGAATGCACTGGGACGTGTGCAAGACCATATACATCTTGAATGTTCTAGGGTGTTGAATGCACCGGGACGTGTGCAGGACCATATACATCTCGAATGTTCTACGGTGGAGGGAGGCGGAGTCTAGAGTCTCTCAGGCTACCTACCACCCCTCATCTCCAGAGAACGGGGTTCAGACCTTCAGGTAACTACTTCGCCCTCCTCTTGTTCTTGTTTTTTCCTTTTTTCGTTCGAACCCCTGTTAGCGTCTTGTAAATTGTGGGAAGCCCTGCATTGTTAGGTAGAGATATATTGAGGTTTGGCACCTTACCACGCCCAGGGCATACTCACAGTAGGACTTTTGCTACTAAGATCTGGCCGTCATTGTGGTCAGATTCATCCGTAATTGGCTGTAATTGTGGTCGGATACATGTAGGAAAGTACTATAGTGTGAGTAAGCCCTCACTGACTCACTGGTTCCTCTTGCACTTTGTCACTGTGCATTTGCGGGCAGCCTCTGGACGTCTGTGAAGTTTTGAGGATTGAACGCGCGACTCCAGCGACTTCTGCGACTTCCACAGTGACTGCACCCATTTCATTTCATTTAGGTCAGCTGATCTCTGTGTGGACGAACTCCTTCCATATACGAGATACCCTATTTTTTTTTATTTTTTATTTTTTAACAAAATCGGTCGTTATGGTGCTGGCTCCTTTCCATTTCGGGGAGCGTCAACCACCTCCGCGTCCATCCTGCAAAAAAAAAAGGAAGAACAGAGAAAGAGAAAAAATAGAAGAAAGAGGGAAAAAGGGAGGGGGGGGGGGGGGAGGGGGGAAAAAAAAAAAAAGAGAAGAAAAACGGGGAAAAAACGAAAAAACAATCGGGACCGCCCGGGCTGCCCGGGGGGCGCGGCCGTTCAATGCCCAGGGGAAGCTCCCGACAAAAAAAAAAAAAAAAAAAAAAAAAAAAAAAAAA